CGGGGTCATCGGACACATTTTTTAAACTACATACCCTAATGATGATTGTGGACAAGTTTGGTTAAATTTGTCTAAGTAGTTTCAGAGGAGAAGATTTTTTTAAAAGATTACAAAAATTTACGAAAAATGGTTAAAAATTGACTATAAAGGGCAATAACTCCTTAAGGGGTCAACTGACCATTTTGGTCAAGTTGACTTATTTGTAGATCTTACTTTGCTGAACATTATTGCTGTTTACAGTTTATCTCTATCTATTATCATATTCAAGATAATAACAAACTAGAGGCTCTAAAGAGCCTGTGTCGCTCACCTTGGTATATGTGCATATTAAACAAAGGACAAAGATGGATTCATGACAAAATTGTGTTTTGGTGATGGTGATGTGTTTGTAGATCTTACTTTACTGAACTTTCTTGCTGCTTACAATTATCTCTATCTATAATGAACTTGGCCCAGTAGTTACAGTGGAAAATATTTTGTAAAAAATTTACAAAAATTTACACAATTTATGAAAAAATTGTAAAAAATTGACTATAAAGGGCAATAACTCCTTAAGGGGTCAATTGACAATTTTGGTCATGTTGACTTATTTGTAGATCTTACTTTGCTGAACATTATTGCTGTTTACAGTTTATCTCTATCTATAATAATATTCAAGATAATAACCAAAAACGGCAAAATTTCCTTAAAATTACCAATTCAGGGGCAGCAACCCAACAACGGGTTGTCCGATTCATCTGAAAATTTCAGGGCAGATAGAACTTGGCCTGATAAACAATTTAACCTAAGTCAGATTTGCTCTAAATGCTTTGGTTTCAGAGATATTAGCCAAAATCTACATTTTACCCCTATGTTCTATTTTTAGCCATGGCGGCCATCTTGGTTGGTTGGCCGGGTCACCGGACACATTTTTTAAACTGGATACCTCAATGATGATTGTGGCCAAGTTTGGTCAAATTTGGCCCAGTAGTTTCAGAGGAGAAGATTTTTGTAAAAGTTTACGGACGACGGACGCCAAGATATGAGAAAAGCTCACTTGGCCCTTTGGGCCAGGTGAGCTAAAAATGAGGTCAAGGACAATTTACATATGACAGATGGAAACTTTATAACATAAGGTAGCTATTATCCCTGATTGGTGTCAAAGTTAGGAACGCAATTGAATTGTTAACAAACTAGAGGCTCTCAAGAGCTTGTGTCGCTCACCTGTTTCTACTTTGGTTTTGGAAATCATGTAAAAATAGATTAAAATCATAACAGATACCCTAATAATGATTGAGACCAAATTTGGTTTAATATTGGCCCCGTAATTTAATAAAAAATCTTGAGGGTATGTATTTCCCATAGGGTCTCATGTTAAACTACATCCCCTGTTGGCGGCCATCTTGGATGATGGTTCGGCTACAAAGTAACAACACTTAGTCAGCACCTCATTAGGAACATTCATGCCATGTTTGGTTTCATTCTATTCAGTGGTTCCCTAGAAGAAAACATTTGTATGTATTTCCCATAGGGTCATATGTAAAACTTACTCCCCCTGCTGGCAGCCATCTTGGATGAAAAATTAGCTACAAAGTAACAGCACTTGGTCAGCACCTCTAAAGAAACATTCATACCATGTTTGGTTTCAATCCATTAGGCGGTTTTCTAGAAGAAGACATTTGTATATATTTCCCATAGGGTCCTTTGCTAAACTAAGTCCCCCGCTGGCAGCCATCTTGGTTGATGGATTTGCTTCAAAGTAACAACACTTGGTCAGCACATCATAAGGAACATTCATGCCATGTTTGGTTTCATTCCATTAAGTGGTTCTTCAAAAGAAGACTTTTGTATGTATTTCACATAGGGTCCTTTGTTAAACTAAGTTCCCCTCTGGTAGCCATCTTGGATGATTGCTTGGCTACAAAGTAACAACACTTGGTCAGCACCTCATAAGGAACATTCATGCCATGTTTGGTTTCATTCCATTTAGTGGTTCTCTGAAAGAAGACATTTGTATGTATTGTCTATAGGGTCCTATGTTAAAAGAAGTCACCCACTGGTAGCCATCTTGGATGATATATCGCCTACAAAGTTACAACACTTGGTCAGCACCTCATAAGGAACATACATGCCATGTTTTATTTCATTCCATTCAGTGGTTCTCTAAAAGAAGACATGTGTATGTATTTCCCATAGGGTCCTATGTTAAACTTAAGTCCCTCTCTGGCGGCCATCTTGGATGATGGATTGGCTTCAAAGTAGCAACACTTGTTCAGCACCTCATAAGGAACATTCATGCCATGTTTGGTTTCATTCCATTTAGTGGTTCTCTAAAAGAAGACATTTGTATGTATTGTCTATAGGGTCCTATGTTAAAAAGAAGTCACCCACTGGCAGCCATCTTGATGATATATCGCCTACAAAGTTACAACACTTGGTCAGCACCTCATAAGGAACATTCATGCCATGTTTGGTTTCATTCCATTCAGTGGTTCTCTAAAAGAAGACATTTGTATGTATTGTCCATATGGTCCTATGTTAAACTAAGTCCCCCACTGGCAGCCATCTTGGAAGATGGATCGGCTTCAAAGTAACAACACTTGGTCAACACCTCTTAAAGAACATTCATGCAATGTTAAGTTTCATTCCATTCAGTGATTCTCTAAAAGAAGACATTTGTATGTATTGTCCATATGGTCCTATGTTAAACTAAGTCCCCCGCTGGCGGCCATCTTGGATGATGGATCGGCTACAAAGTAACAACACTTGTTCAGCACCTCATAAGGAACATTCATGCCATGTTTGGTTTTATTCCATTCAGTGGTTCTCTAAAAGAAGACATTTGTATGTATTGTCCATATGGTCATATGTTAAACTAAGTACCCCGCTGGCAGCCTACTTTGGAAGATGGATCGGCTTCAAAGTAACAACACTTGGTCAGCACCTCCTAAAGAACATTCATGTTATGTTTAGTTTTATTCCATTCAGTGGTTCTCTAAAAGAAGACATTTGTATGCATTGTCCATAGGGTCCTATGTTAAACTAAGTCTCCCTATGGCGGCCATCTTGGATGATGGATCGGCTACAAAGTAACAACACTTGTTCAGCACCTCATAAGGAACATTCATGCCATGTTTAGTTTCATTCCATTCAGTGGTTCTCTAGAAGAAGTTCAAAATGTAAAAAGTTAACGACGATGGTGATGATGACGACGAAGCCCGACGCTGGACGCCGGATGCCGGTCGCCGGACGCCGGACGCCAAGTGATGAGAAAAGCTCACTTGGCCAAGGGGCCAGGTGAGCTAAAAATCGCTCCTTCACAATAGTTGACTTGCTACTATTCGAATGAATTGGCTGAACTTCACCATTTGTGCTGTTTATACTAAATACAGAGGACCAGAGAGCAGTGATATAAGAACTAATCATTATTTAATATTTGGAAAAAACTTAATTTCCAGAAAATATCAGGGTTTGAAAATAGGATTTTTCACTCCAAGAAGCTGTGTGTCACACTGAGCTTTTTGGGGTTATTTTTGTGTCATATGATACATGAAAATGCAACCTCCTATATAATAAACTGTTATCACAGAGATATGTCTCGCCTTTTTGTAATTTTGATAATGCAAATGTTGAAATTAAAATAGCAATACTTTAACATGCAAGTTATGCAAATATTCAAAGTCAATGAACCATGACTGAAGGTACATGGCTAAACAATCTCCATGGAATGAGATGTGCCAATGCTAATACAACTGCATACCAAATACCATTGACTTATTATAAGTCGTTCCCTTTAAACAAACCTAAACACAAACATTAACTTGTAAACTATGTAAAAGTTTCAAAGTCAATGAACCATGATCAGGGGTGGGGCTATATAATCTCCATGGAAACGATACTTGCAAATGCCAATAAATTTGCATACCAAATATCATTGACTTAACATTAGCAGTTCATCTTAAACTGATCTAATCACAAACTAATACATGTAAACTAAGCAAAAGTTTCAGAGTAAATAGACCATGACTGAGGGGACGGGGCAAAATATTCTCCATGGAAATGAGATGTGCTAATGCTTATACAACTGAACACCAATTAACATTGGCCTACCACTAATGTTTCCCCTTGAACTGACCTGATCACAAACTAATACATGTTAACTTAGCAAAATTTTCAAAGTCTATAGACCATGACTAAAGGGGCGGAGCCAAATAATCTCCATGGAAATGAGATCTGCCAATGCTTATACAACTGCATACCAAATATTATTGACCTACCACTAGTGGTTCCCCATAAATTGACCTAATCACAAACTAATACATGTAAACTATGAAAAGTTTCAAAGTCAATAGACCTTGACTGAGGGGGCAGGGCCAAATAATCTCCATGGTAATGAGATGTGCCAATGCTTATACAACTGCATACCAAATATCATTGACCTACCACTAGTGGTTCACCATGAACTAGACCTAATCACAAACTAATACATTATTGACGCCGTCGCCGTCGCCGTCGCCGGAAACAGCATACCTATGTCTCGATTTTTAACTCCGTCAAGGCGAGACAAAAATGTCCCAGCTTCAAAACAAGTCATCATGCATATCCATGTTTATAATAAAAGATTAAAGAAATGCTACTTTTATAGTTTACATGAAAAAAATTGTGCATATTGACTCAAACGACAATGGGGTTTAGGAATATCTTCATTAATATTTTCAAAAGAATATTTATTCTAATGTAAATATTATACATAAAGAGGGGTCTTGATCATTCCTTTTGACATTTTGGTAAAAAGTGGACACATGGTTTAAAAGATATCATCTGGAAACCATTATTTGGCCCAAATTGTAGTCCAACAATTGCTGTGACCTTGATCTCTGGTCTAGAGTTCTTGAAAAAAAATAGGGTCTTCTTGTCTATATGGGACATCGTCAATCCATATTTGGGGTAAAGATATTGTTTATGGCATTTTATATAATTTTATCAGCTACATTGACTCAATTTAAAAAACAATAACTTACATTTACATACTGTAGATGATATTCTTTACAAATTCCAAGTCGACTACCAGTTACAAGTATTTTATATCCAGTTATATCACCATTGGGTATATTTGGTCTTTGAAACATTACTTCAAAACTGTCTTTTGAAGAGATTCCTCTAAAATTGAATATTCTCTCAGGAACTAAAATGAAATAAATGTTGATTTTTAAATAAAGAAGTGATTTCATTTCGAGGACAAAAATAAAAAGTCATATATATAAATACCTTTACTAAATAAATCTTAAATGTTATTATATAAAGTATACATACAATATCTACTTAAAAAATGATTATATCACAATTTTCATGTTAATAAACAGCTGTGCCAGGAGTGAAAGATATGCCTTTCATATTCAAATGTAAGAATAAAATGGAATAATGTTGAAAGCATTAAATGTCCCATAACTCTTGAAAAGCAAATCTTGCTGAAAAATTCTCATTATCAAATGGAAGTCTTCTTTCACCAATCTCAACAATAGTGTAAAGTTTCCAAAAATTTGATCCAAGCATGCTCTTGTTAGGGCATGACTTTAAAATTAACCCATAACTCTAGAATACTAAATTGGAAAATTATTGAAATTATTTGGGGGGCTTTCTTTTCCTAATAAAATCCCAAACATATAGAAAGTTTGATATTAATTGATAATAGCATACTCGAGTTTAGTGCAGGACATGTGAAAAATTGACCTAAATCTGATGGTTCCAGTCCAATAACTCGGGAACAAAAAACCAGAAATTTTCAAAATCAGAAGGGAGCTTATTATTAACGGTCCCAACATCACCATCAGAAGGGAGCTTATTCTTACCAATTCCCAACAACAGCATAGATTCGAGTAAATTTATCCCAGCATCAGGGTTTCCGCGGTCGGTCACCATTTACGCAGTTTGCGAAAAAATTAATATTGTGGTGATTAAAATTTGTAATTGGCGAAAGAATTTGGTGAAAGAAATGTTAGGTTTCGACTTCGTCTATCTTGTTTACTTTTTTGGAGTTTCTCAGACTTTATCCCTGATCAGACAATACTGGGAATTCACTTTGAACTCGTTACGATTTTGATAGAAAAACAATCAATAATCAGCATTTTATAGCTATCGGCAACAATGAATTATAATTAATAAAGGTGTTAATTGTATTAATTGTTTAATGAAATGGTGTGGTTAAATGGCTTCACATGTCATTTAAAGGATTTTTTTACAACTTTGATGGAAATATTTGTTTTGAAGTGGGACTACTTCACAATTGTTTTAGAGACGCACATGTTTGAAGCATAGTTTTACGTCTCTTCTTTTTCTGTTAACGATGGTCTGGAAAAGAAAACTGTTACTATGACGGAAAATGTCAAATGTAAGAAAAATCTATTACTTTAAATTTTATCCTAAAACTTTTATAGAAATTATCATTTTGAAGTGGGCAATTTACAATCGTTTGGTTTAGCAATGCACGTGTTTGAGGCGTAGTTTTACGTCCAAACTTTTTTCTTTTAATGATGGTTCGGAAAAAAAAATATTATTAACATGAAAAATATTCAATAGAAAGTAAGAAAAATTTCTGACTTTAGTCTTTATCCTTCATCTAAACGGGAAGTATCCGATTAAATTATTGTAAACGAATCCCGTGTTCACTGGCAGAAGTAAAACTAGAGGCTCTAAAGAGCCTGTGTCGCTCACCTTGGTCAATGTGAATATTAAACAAAGGACGCAGATGGATTCATGACAAAATTGTGTTTTGGTGATGGTGATGTGTTTGTACATCTTAATTTACTGAACATTTTTCCTGCTTACAATTATTTCTATCTATAATTAACTTGGCCCAGTAATTTCAGAGGAGAAGATTTTTGTAAAAGATAACTAAGATTTACGAAAAATGGTTAAAAATTGACTATAAAGGGCAATAGCTCCTAAAGGGGTCAACTGACAATTTCGGTCATGTTGACTTATTTGTAGATCTTACTTTGCCGACATTTATTGTTTTTTACAGTTTATCTCTATCTATAATAATATTCAAGATAATAACCAAAAACAGCAAAATTACCTTAAAATTACCAATTCAGGGGCAGCAACCCAATAACGGGTTGTCTGATTCATCTGAAAATTTCAGGGCAGATAGATCTTGACCTGATAAACAATTTTACTTCATGTCAGATTTGCTTTAAATGCTTTGGTTTTTGAGTAAAGAGCCAAAAACTGAATTTTACCCCTATGTTCTATTTTTAGCCGTGGCGGCCATCTTGGTTGGTTGACCAGGTCACGCCACACATTTTTAAAACTAGATAACCAAATGATGATTGTGGCCAAGTTTGGTTTAATTTGGCCACGTAGTTTCAGAGGAGAAGATTTTTGTAAAAGATTACTAAGATTTACGAAAAATTGTTAAAAATTGACTATAAAGGGCAATAACTCCTAAAGGGGCCAACTGACCATTTCAGTCATGTTGACTTATTTGTTAATCTTACTTTGCTGAACATTATTGCTGTTTACAGTTTATCTCTATCTATAATAATATTCAAGATAATAACCAAAAACAGCAAAATTTCCTTAAAATTACCAATTCAGGGGCAGCAACCCAATAACGGGTTGTCCGATTCATCTGAAAATTTCAGGGCAGATAGATCTTGACCTGATAAACAATTTTACTTCATGTCAGATTTGCTTTAAATGCTTTGGTTTTTGAGTTAAAAGCCAAAAACTGAATTTTACCCCTATGTTCTATTTTTAGCCGTGGCGGCCATCTTGGTTGGTTGACCAGGTCACGCCACACATTTTTAAAACTAGATAACCAAATGATGATTGTGGCCAAGTTTGGTTTAATTTGGCCACGTAGTTTCAGAGGAGAAGATTTTTGTAAAAGATTACTAAGATTTACGAAAACTTGTTAAAAATTGACTATAAAGGGCAATAACTCCTAAAGGGGCCAACTGACCATTTCAGTCATGTTGACTTATTTGTTAATCTTACTTTGCTGAACATTATTGCTGTTTACAGTTTATCTCTATCTATAATAATATTCAAGATAATAACCAAAAACAGCAAAATTTCCTTAAAATTACCAATTCAGGGGCAGCAACCCAACAACAGGTTGTTCGATTCATCTGAAAATTTCAGGGCAGATAGATCTTGACCTGATAAACAATTTTACTTCATGTCAGATTTGCTCTAAATGCTTTGGTTTTTGAGTTATAAGCCAAAAACTGCATTTTACCCCTATGTTTTATTTTTAGCTGTGGCGGCCATCTTGGTTGGTTGGCCGGGTCACGCCACACATTTTTTAAACTAAATACCCCAATGATGATTGTGGCCAAGTTTGGTTTAATTTGGCCCAGTTGTTTCAGAGGAGAAGATTTTTGTAAAAGATTACTAAGATTTACGAAAAATGGTTAAAAATTGACTATAAAGGGCAATTACTCCTAAAGGGGTCAACTGACCATTTCGGTTATATTGACTTATTTGTAAATCTTACTTTGCTGAACATTATTGCTGTTTACAGTTTATCTCTATCTATAATAATATTCAAGATAATAACCAAAAACAGCAAAATTTCCTTAAAATTACCAATTCAGGGGCAGCAACCCAATAACGGGTTGTCCGATTCATCTGAAAATTTCAGGGCAGATAGATCTTGACCTGATGAACAAGTTTACTCCATGTCTGATTCGCTCTTAATGCTTTGGTTTTTGAGTTATAAGCTAAAAACTGCATTTTACCCCTATGTTCTATTTTTAGCCGTGGCGGCCATCTTGGTTGGTTGACTGGGTCATCGGACACATTTTTTTAACTAGATACCCCAATGATGATTGTGGCCAAGTTTGGTTAAATTTGGCCCAGTAGTTTCAGAGGAGAAGATTTTTGTAAAAGTTTACGGACGACGGACGACGGACGACGGACGACGGACGACGGACGCAAAGTGATGAGAAAAGCTCACTTGACCTTTCAGGTCAGGTGAGCTAAAAATAATGGATTCATGATCTATATTGCAATTTTACATTATCTTTTAAAAAGTAGATGTTTGTTATTATTAAGTATTTATTCATTAGAATGTACATTAAAAAATAGATATTAAGAATTATAATAGACAACAATGTGACAAACTGATTTTTTTTGTTAGAAAGAAGGAAAATTTTAAACAAAAAATATGTTTATGTTAGTTGGCGAAAAAAAAATCAAAGTGGCGAAAAATATGTTGTTTTGGCGAAAGAGGTGGCGAAAAAGAAAATTGACCAAGGGGAAACCCTGCCCAGCATACTCTAGTTAGTGTGTGATATGCCAAAAATCAAATTAAATCTGATTTTTAAAAGTCTCTTAACTCTGGAAAGACAACTCCAAAAAAGTTCAAGATCAAAATGGAGATCACTTTTACCGATTAAAATATTCTATTCAAGTTTCATGATCAAAGCACTTTCTAGCATTTGTTTGACTTGTGAACCAAAATCAAAAGTATGCATCAACCTATATTAAAGAGTAGTAACAAATATAGTTTTAATATTTCAGGATAAGCAAGGATCCCGAATTTTTTTCATACAATTTCGGTCATTTTGAGATGACTTAAATGTTGGGGCCCTTTTTTCAAACTGTCGAAATTATTCACACTACATTCATAGCATAAACCAACTTGTATTGACTGTTTCATAGCATTTACTTTGTGAATTTTCTTACCGTTTTTTCTAAAAACGTTCAAAAACAGTTAATAGAATGCAACAGTTTAAAATTAAAATGATTTTAATGACTCAAATGGACAAATAGCTTTCAGTTTAGGTCATGCCTGGCAAATATGACCATTTCGGGACCCTTGATGATAAGTCAACTAACACAAAAGTTATTGCATGGAAACCCATACATCTTAAGACAGGTGGACTATAATTAAGGAATAACAGAACTATAGTTAAAGAATTACCATCGTCAACTGGCGAATTGACAGTCGCGATGGGTAGTCAAATTAAAATTTACAGCGGCAACTCTTCAACTACAGTACTGTTATTCCGATTTTAATGCATTACAAAAAGAAATAATACCTTAGAACTTTGCCATAAACTGTATGGATAGCCAGCACCTCTGCCTCAGTGGTCTCATGCTTGCCTTGATTATGGGAAGTCCGAGATTTCGATCCCAAGCAGTATCATACCAAAGACTTTAAAATTGGTATTTGCAGCTTCTACACTAAGCATGCAGCATTAAAGAGTAACGCTCAGAGTCTGAATACTGTGTCGGTGGGGAATGTCTTTCAGAAGACTGTTACGCTGTTTCAACTGCATGTTAAAAACCTACCTCAGTGTGTTTGGTCCAATACACAGCAGAATTCATATTCATATAGCATTAACATGTTCTTGTCCTGAATATGCATTTATTTTATCACTGAACATGTTAAAAACAGCCATCAAATATCATCATATGATAAAATGACCACACTGTTTTTCAGCCATATAAAATTCATTCTGTAAAATTTCAAGCTGAACTTTTGAGATACTTACCATCTTCTGCTGTTCTTAGACCATTTAGGTTGAAACTAATACTGCTGCTAAATTTATCGTTGATTGTGTAAACTTGTATGTTGTAAAAAGATCCTGAAAATATTGAAAAGAAATATTATTGCTTATTTTTGTGTTCATAAAACAGACAAGTTTTATTGATTTCTACAGACAGTTATATAGATAATCAAATATCAAACAGTAAAAAACTTTGTCATTAAAAATGCTTTATACAATACAAAATAAATAAAACAGTACTTGTCAGATCTTTTAGAAAAAAAAAAATTATTTCAATGGGTTTTTCTTCCAATTGTGCTACTGCCATCTTAGACTGAAGGGGAGATAGAACCAAGAGTTCCTTTCTGGTAGACATGATAGCATTTTATAGACACGTGATAGAGGAAACTGTCACATAATATGTAAGATTTTCATCATAAGAGACGTTAAAGAGATTTTATTGTCATTGAACCATATGAGGTATAATAGACAAACTTTAGACCATAAGGCATCTATATACAAAATTCAATAGTTTATTTTAGCTATTGAACATTATAAAGTATTAAATTTTGTACAAGTAGTTACCCATAATGCCATGAAAGCCACTGACTGATTAGCCTTCCTTAGTGTTGCTCAGACTTTAGTTTTCTACGTTTTCTATGTTGTGTTTTGTGTACTATTGTTTGCCTGTTTGTCTCTTTTTTTTTTTTTTTTTTAGCCATGGCGTTGTCAGTTTATTTTCGACTTATGAGTTTGAATGTCCCTTTGGTATCTTTCGCCCCTCTTTTACCATGCCTTCAGCCACAATCGCCATAGTCATGATAATAAACTATCATAAAGAATGGTTCTTGTTAAAGTGACCTTTTGATAAAATCTAACGTTTTAATAAACTATACAAAAAGTAAATGAATTAAAACAAGAGAAACCCATACGAAAATTAGATGCAGCAGTTGTAAAGTAATTGCATTCCAAATATCAGTTACCTAAGTTCTTGATAAATTTACCTATGAGTAATCACAAGTCAATGACTAAAACTGTTAAAAAGAAGCATAACAACCTCTAGGAAGTAAAATGCACAACTGCTATGAACAGTACTTAACAATTATCAGATCTAATCTCACTGGTTTGTATGGTCTGATGTAAAATTTGAGGCATACGTTAAAAGAATAAAACTCTCTGTGCAAATTACAACAAGAGTGCACACACTGAAATGTCTCGCCTGCTTTACTGAACACTGATTTTATGTTTGTAATAGCTGACTTTTGGGCTTCATATAAAACTCAAGTCGCTTTGCTAGGGTTTGGGATATTTATTAATCAGAAACGTAAACCCAACTTGTGAAGCATGGTAGTTACTGCTGTGGTACAAACCATTTCAAATGTACATACTGGTATATCATCACACAGTGATATTTATACAACAGCTTACAAATTGTCAAAATGTCAAGTCTGTCATTTCGATACAACTCAATCTATTATCAATACATTCAATGGCTACTGGACATAAATATCTGTCCATTTCGAATCCATTAGTCCTTCTAACTCAAACAAGGAAACTCTTAACTCACCGCTAAAACTATAAACCAATCAATCAGAGGACTAGAAATCCAAATAACCATGAATATTCAAAAATATGTCAATTATATGGAAACGTTTCAATGTAATCAAAATTTAGAAAAGACATATGATGTTGTATTCATTCAATATCAATAATATATTTTCAATCTGTTCAATGTAAACACTGATTCAAACATTAAAAGTTGATTTCCGACAAAATTTTCAATATTGTTCCTATTGAAATTTGTATTTTTGTGTGTTTGACAAATAAAAACTTGAAAATGACAATGTTTAAATTAAGGCCTTCTTATATAAATATATTCTATAACTAAACAAACACAAAAAAAATTGCAAATTTCAATAGGAACAATGCTAAATTTTTTGTCGGAAATCAAATTATTATGATTAATTCAGTGTTATATTTAACAGATTGAAAATATATTATTCATATTGAATAAATACAACATCACATGCAGTTTTTTCAAAGTCAAATAAAACCTGCCAGACTGACAATAAAATTGTAAAATACTTCCATACACCAAATATAGTTGACCTATTGCATACAGTATTAGAAAAACAGACCAAAACACTAAAACTTTGACCACTGAACCATGAAAATGAGATCAAGGACAATGAACATATGACAGACAGAAACTACAAGAGAATATAGTACCGTATCCTTAGTTTATTCAATGTTACAAATGTTGTACAATTACTAGAATGATTGAGTACTGTAAATTCAGAAATCATTGAAAGGTTTTTATTATTGCAAATAATGCGAATGGGTGCATGAGTAATGCACTTTAAATAAGAAGTCACATTCTGATATCAGATAAATATATCTGTATGCATATTTTCCTGAAATCGCATTAATTAATCTCGCAGTTTTGTCAATTCTTCAAAAATCACAATAACAAATGCACGCAATAATATCTTAATTTGCAGTATATTGAATGCAGTTATTTCATTCCTTACCTGCTTGTAAGCCAGTTACTTGATAAATGTTGTCCATAGTGTCAGCGATTGTAACAGACCTCCTATAGTCAAAGCTCTGGTCCGTATAATTTTTTCCATAAATGTCTATTCTGTAACCAACAATGTCTCCTCTTGGTTCACCAGTCATAGTGATGCTTATGTTAAAGTTATCTTGGCCTTCCATATTAACCTTTGTAACATTATTTGGAGGATCAGGTACTGAAATATTTCAAGATTTTTAAGAAAACTTAAATCTTTTAAAGCTGTTAAGGTAGTTACTGTGAAGGCTGGTCATTGTTTGTCTCAACGCTGTTGACTTTAGGTTCATATAGGAATTGACAAACATGGCTGTGTATTTAAGAAACCTTTAAGGTATGGCTAGACCTAGATATATACAAGTTAAATGCATTGTTGAATATTTTGCAACTAAAATGCATTTAAGTTTAATTTATCTAGGACCAGCCTTGCCTTAAGATTTTTCCAGGTGAACAGATAAATTCTGTACTCACAGCAAAATTTGTGGTGTAAATACAACCATATTTAATAAAAGGTTATGATGAATCTTAATGTTTAATGAACAGACTCCTGGGATAGATATACATAGGAAAAATTGCAACATATGTTTTCATATGTTTAACATATGTTTTTCATATGTTTGAAAACATATGTAAACATATGTTTAGGCCCGACATGAAAACATATGTTTTCGAACATATGAAAAACATATGGAAAACATATGAAAAACATATGTTTTTCATACATGTAAACATATGAAAAACATATGTTTTTCATATGTTTTTTACAAACATATGTTTTTCATATGTTTTCATACCTGGCCTAAACATATGTTTTCATATGTTTGTCCTAAACATATGTTTTCATATGTTTGGCCCAAACATATGTTTTCATATGATTTTATCTTGGTCTTAAATATATTTATTTTTTATATGTTTTTAATTGTTCAAATGCATTTATTTTCTCATAGATTCTTAACATGGTTTTTATATATATGTATTTTTTTTTGCGATAGGTTTTTAAGGGTAATGTTTTGATGTTTTTTAATATGTTTTTCTTTAATTTGTCATCTTTTTTTTCTGTCAGGAACTCATTTTGAGTGTAAATACTTCATTGTGATGAGTTGTTGCTTTAAAAAGTAAAAAACCCAAAATACCAAATTCCACAGAAAATACATGGCAAAATCAAAAGCTCAAACAAATAAAAAACAATAAGTGCTCCATAATTTTTATATAAAGTAGAACTTTTTTTATTAAGTTGTTGTCTCTTCTATTTCATATTTTTGTCTCTTTGACATACATTGTACCATATTTCTATTGTCTATATTCTATTTTCATATGTGTGTCTCTTTGACATACCCCATTTCTATTGTCTATATTATATTTTCATATGTTTGTCTCTTTGACATACTCCATTTCTATTGTCTATATTATATTTTCATATGTGTGTCTCTTTGACATACATGTGTACTCCATTTCTATTGTCTATACTATATTTTCCAATGATGTATGAGATATTTCTATTGCTATATCACCATACACAGATATGTAATTGTCTACACTGCTGGCTAATACTGGTGCATGTGTATGCAGCTGCTTTTTGGAAATATCCTGTATGATTAAGAAAGACAACTAGATTGACTTTGAGCTCAATATTGTATTAATTAAAAACTAATGTTCTTTGGTTCTGTTTCTTTACTTTTCAGTTCCTGCAAGTAGAAATAAAAGAACAGAGTTTCAATGTCCACCTAGTTGCACATTTTTAGCTCACCTGGCCCGAAGGGCCAAGTGAGCTATTCTCATCACTTGGCACCTGTTGTCGTCGTCCGGATTCGTCGTTAACTTTTTACATTTTTAACTTCTTCTAGAGAACCACTGAATGGATTGGAACAAAATATGGCATGAATGTTCCTTATGAGGTGCTGACCAAATATTGTTACTTTGTTGCCGATCCATCATCCAAGATGGCCGCCAGCGGGGGACTTAGTTTAACATAGGACCCTATGGGAAATACATACAAATGTCTTCATTTAGAGAACCACTGAATGGAACGAAACCAAACATAGCATGAATGTTCCTTATTAGGTGCTGACCTAGTGTTGTTACTTTGTAGCCGATCCATCATCCAAGATGGCCACCAGCGGGGGCTTAGTTTACGGGAAATACATACAAATGTCTTCTTTTAGAGAACCACTGAATGGAATGAAAGCAAACATAGCAATATTAAACCAAATTTGGCCTCAAACATTATTATAAGTATCTGTTATGATTTTTATCTTTTTTTATATGATTTCAAAAACCCAAGTAGAGTGAGGTGAGCGACACAGGCTCTTGAGAGCCTCTAGTTTATCTATCAAGGGGCAATATTAACATGATTAAAAAAAAACAACAAAATATTTATAAATAAAAAATGTGCTTGGGGGAAAAAAAAGGTTCTTTTTCTTATATACTAAATATTTCAAACTGACCTTCAAGGGCATTTCTATAATAGTATACTATAAGTTTAATAAAATAAATTGAGAGCATTTACGAGGTCATTTTCCATAAATTTAATATTTCCAAGAGGCATAACTCTTTTGAAAAAATTCAATTGGCCATCATATTACAACTGCCAGTTGGACATTTACACCTTACAATAATTCCATACACCAAATATAGTAAGTATAACTTATTGCTTATAATACCTGAGGTATTGACTTGACCACTAAAACTTTCTGACAGAGTAGACAGACACTAGCTATAGGACCTTGCAAGGTACCCACATACTAAGTAAATAGAAATATCCTATTACCATGATTACTATAAATAATATTAATAATAGAGAAATTAACATTACAAAAAAACTTTAACCACAGACTGAACCTAAACTTTAGGACAGCGACGCCGCCCCTGGCAGAATCTAGGATCACTGTCTCGCTTTCACGAAATAAATTTGCAAGCTTGACAAAAAGCAGAACTTGTATTTCAGAAATAGAAATTCTATGCAATTATTAATACTTATATGCTGTTATGGTCCTACATATTCTTGTGTGTTCAATATTTTGGCATTACACAAAGTCATGCTTTCTTAGACTGTTTGAAATGACAAATGTTTTGTTGTTACATTAATTGATTAAATCTGTTGAAGGTGAATTGATAGATATTTTAGTTTGGAAAAAATAACATAATTTTTGCATCTTTTATTATTTTGTTATTTCTTTTTAAGTGCTTGTTGATGAGTCCAGCCCTTTCTAACGGATTTTGACATTTGTTTCTTATGTTGGGTGCTGTCTGCCATACTGTGTGTAGTTTTATTTTTTTCATTGGTTCACATTTTTTCATCCTTATACAAGTTATAGCCATAATTGGTTACTTTATGGTATGGATAATGATCATTGTTTATGGCTGTACAGTGACCAGCAAATGTTTACATCTTCGTCCTTTGGTTTTTTAATTGATAGTTGTCACATTGAAAATCATACATGTACCTCATCTCCTTATACATGTTATATCTATATGCTGGTTCATAAAAAATCTTAAAAGAAAATTATTCAATTGTTATATGTTTGAAAACTCTTTCCTATAATGCAAAAACAATAATTGATTGATTTTTCTAGCTTATTTTAATGTTCAGTGGCAAATATTTTATGTATATTCAAGACGAGAACAACTTTTAAATATACAATTCATAATACATTGTAATATAAGCAAATGCTTTATTTTAACTTCTGACATCTCATGCGTGTGTGTGTGTGGAGCAGAAGAAGGATTCCTTGATAAAATTGAGAATGGAAATGGGGAATGTGTCAAAGAAACAACAACCCGACCATAGAGCAGACAACAGCCGAAGGCCACCAAATTGATGCATACTTGACATCAGAAAGACATAAATAAACAACAGTATACATGGTATACATGCTGTAACATGTACAATTACACTTGAAAAAGTTTTAAATAGATAACATTAAATTATTTAAATTAACTGCAATTCTACAGATGAACTTACTTTGATACCAGTTCTTTTTGCCTGACATCCGCACCTACATGTACACCAGTGATTTTAATACTGTACTTTCCTTTCATTTGGTAACCATGGTAACAAGCTAAAATTGTAAATCTTAATTTAATCCAGAAGTCCAGACAAAAACAAGATCATTTTTGTAGACGTAGTATGAACTGTTGCTCACTAATTTATATTTTTACTTTTGAGTGAATGGAAACAATATGCAACAAACAACAAAAAGATCAAAAGTGTAACTAATATTAATATTATATGTATAGCCTAAGCCCGTCTCAGTATAGTATGAACTTTTTCTAATATAAAATGATCTATTCTGCTGTCTACAGTTTAAAATAAAATGCTCCCCAGGGTGCAGCTTGATACGACCAACAGATGGGGCAAGTATTGACACAATATTCAAGCTTGATACAGCTCTGAATTTGGTTTGAGATTAAATATTTGACACAGCATACATGGCATAGGTTTCTGACACAGAATGAATGTGGTCTAAGAACTTAAAAATTTTAAATTAGACATTTACCTGTTATGGTCCAATATCCTAAATCTAAATACATGGTTAGATTCAGCATATAAAAGAACCCCAAGAATTCAATTTTTTGATGAAATCAAACAAAGTTTAATTATGGACCCTTTTGAACTCAATGTGGACCAATTTGATAACGGAGCCCAAAAATCAAAAATCTAAATACATGGTTAGATTCAGCATATCAAGGAACCCCATATATTCAATTTTTGTTAAACTCAAACAAAGTTAAATTTTGCACCCGATTTGGACCAACTCGAAAACTGGGCCCATAATCAAAAGTCTATATACATGTTTAGATTCAGCATATCAAAGAACCCCAAGAATTCAATTTTGTTAAAATCAAACTAAGTTTTATATTGGACCCTTTGGACCTTAATGTAGACCAATTTGAAAACAGGACCAAAAATTAAAAATCTAAATACACGGTTAGATTTGGCATATCAAAGAACCCCAATAATTCAATTTTTGATGAAATCAAACAAAGTTTAATTTTGGACCCTTTGGACCTCAATGAGGACCAATTAAAAAAACGGGACACAAAATCCAAAAACTTAATACACTGTTAGATTCAGCATATCAAAGAATCCCTCATATTCATTTTTTGTTGAAATCAAACAAAGTTTAATTTTGGACCAACTTGAAAACTGGACCCAAAATCAAAAATCTATATACATGTTAAGATTCAGCATATCAATGCAAAGAACCCCAAGAATTCAATTTTTAGCTCACCTGACCTGAAAGGTCAAGTGAGCTTTTCTCATCACTTTGCGTCCGTCGTCCATCGTCCTGCGTCCGTCGTCCGTAAACTTTTACAAAAATCTTCTCCTCTGAAACTACTGGGCCAAATTTGACCAAACTTGGCCACAATCATCATTGGGGTATCTAGTTTTAAAAATGTGTCCGGTGACCCGGCCATCCAACCAAGATGGCCGCCATGGCTAAAAATAGAACATAGGGGTAAAATGTAGATTTTGGCATATATCTCTGAAACCAAAGCATTTAGAGCAAATCTGACATGGGGGTAAAATTGGTTATCAGGTCAAGATCTATCTGCCCTGAAATTTTCAGATGAATCGGACAACCCTTTGTTGGGTTGCTGCCCCTGAATTGGTAATTTTAAGGAAATTTTGCCGTTTTTGGTTATTATCTTGAATATTATTATAGATAGAGATAAACTGTAAACAGCAATAATGTTCAGCAAAGTAAGATCTACAAATAAGTCAACATGACCAAAATGGTCAGTTGACCCCTTAAGGAGTTATTGCCCTTTATAGTAAATTTTTAACCATTTTTCGTAAATTTTTGTAATCTTTTACAAAAATCTTCTCCTCTGAAACTACTAAGACAAATTTAACCAAACTTGTCCACAATCATCATTAGAGTATCTAGTTTAAAAAATGTGTCCGATGACCCCGCCCGCAAACCAAGATGGCCGACATGGCTAAAAAATAGTACATAGGGTAAAATGCAGTTTTTGGCTCATATCTCTGAAACCAAAGCATTTAGAGCAAATCTGATGAGGATAAAATTGTTCATTAGGTCAAGATCTATCTGCCCTGAAATTTTCAGACCAATCAGGCAACCCGTTGTTGGGTTGCTGCCCCTGAATGCGTAATTTTAAGGAAATTTTGCCGTTTTTGGTTATTATCTTGAATATTATTATAGATAGAGATAAACTGTAAACAACAATAATGTTCAGCAAAGTAAGATTTACAAATAAGTCAACATGACCAAAATGGTCAGTTGACCCCTTAAGGAGTTATTGCCCTTTATAGTCAATTTTTAACCATTTTTAGCTCACCTGACCTGAAAGGTCAAGTGAGCTTTTCTCATCACTTGGCGTCCGTCGTCCGTCGTCCTGCGTCCGTCGTCCGTCGTCCGTAAACTTTTACAAAAATCTTCTCCTCTGAAACTACTGGGCCAAATTTGACCAAACTTGGCCACAATCATCATTGGGGTATCTAGTTTAAAAAATGTGTCCGGTGACCCGGCCAACCAACCAAGATGGCCGCCATGGCTAAAAATAGAACATAGGGGTAAAATGTAGATTTTGGCTTATATCTCTGAAACCAAAGCATTTAGAGCAAATCTGACATGGGGGTAAAATTGTTTATCAGGTCAAGATCTATCTGCCCTGAAATTTTCAGATGAATCGGACAACCCTTTGTTGGGTTGCTGCCCCTGAATTGGTAATTTTAAGGAAATTTTGCCGTTTTTGGTTATTATCTTGAACATTATTATAGATAGAGATAAACTGTAAACAGCAATAATGTTCAGCAAAGTAAGATCTACAAATAAGTCAACTTGACCAAAATGGTCATTTGACCCCTTAAGGAGTTATTGCCCTTTATAGTAAATTTTTAACCATTTTTCGTAAATTTTTGTAATCTTTTACAAAAATCTTCTCCTCTGAAACTACTAAGACAAATTTAACCAAACTTGTCCACAATCATCATTAGGGTAACCCGCCCGCGAACCAAGATGGCCGACATGGCTAAAAAATAGTACATAGGGTAAAATGCAGTTTTTGGCTCATATCTCTGAAACCAAAGCATTAAGAGCAAATCTGATGAGTATAAAATTGTTCATTAGGTCAAGATTTATCTGCCCTGAAATTTTAAGACCAATCAGGCAACCCGTTGTTGGGTTGCTGCCCCTGAATTGGTAATTTTAAGGAAATTTTGCAGTTTTTGGTTATTATCTTGAACATTATTATAGATAGAGATAAACTGTAAACAGCAATAATGTTCAGCAAAGTAAGATCTACAAATAAGTCAACTTGACCAAAATGGTCAGTTGACCCCTTAAGGAGTTATTGCCCTTTATAGTCAATTTTTAACCATTTTACGTAATTTTTTGTAATTTTTTACAAAAATCTTCTCCTCTGAAACTACTAGGACAAATTTAACCAAACTTGTCCACAATCATCATTAGGGTAACCCGCCCGCAAACCAAGATGGCCGACATGGCTAAAAAATAGTACATAGGGTAAAATGCAGTTTTTGGCTCATATCTCTGAAACCAAAGCATTTAGAGCAAATCTGATGAGGATAAAATTGTTCATTAGGTCAAGATCTATCTGCCCTGAAATTTTCAGACCAATCAGGCAACCCGTTGTTGGGTTGCTGCCCCTGAATTGGTAATTTTAAGAAAATTTTGCAGCTTTTGGTTATTATCTTGAATATTGTTATAGATAGAGATAAACTGTTAACAGCAATAATGTACAGCAAAGTTAGATCTACAAATAAGGCAACATGACCAAAATTGTCAATTGACCCCTTAAGGAGTTATTGCCCTTTATAGTCAATTTTTTACAATTTTCATAAATTTTGTAAATTTTTGTAAATTTTTACAAAGTATTTTCCACTGTAACTACCGGCCAAGTTCATTATAGATAGAGATAATAGTAAGGAGCAAGAATGTTCAGTAAAGTAAGATCTACAAACACATCACCATCACCAAAACACAATTTTGTCATGAATCCATCTGTGTCCTTTGTTTAATATGCACATAGACCAAGGTGAGCGACACAGGCTCTTTAGAGCCTCTAGTTGTTAAAATCAAACTAAGTTTAATTTTGGACCCTTTGGACCTTAATGTAGACCAATTTGAAAAGGGAACCAAAAATTAAAAATCTAAATACACGGTTAGATTCGGCATATCAAAGAACCCCAATAATTCAATTTTTGATGAAATCAAACAAAGTTTAATTTTGGACCCTATGGACCTCAATGTGGACAAATTTAAAAACGGGGCCCATAATCCAAAAACTCAATACATGGTTAGATTCAGCATATTAAAAAAAACCAAGAATTCAAGAATAAAACCCCATTGAAATTGGTCAAGAAATAAGCAATTTATACAAAGTATTAGAAAAGTATTGTTATTGGCCCCTAATTCCTAAACAGTTAGGGTCATAACCCCCAAATTCAATTCCAACCTTCCTTTTTTGGTATGGAACCTTGTGGTACAATTTCAGAAAGATCCATGCACTTACACACAAGTTATATTGTCTGGAAACTGGTAAAATGCTTATTTTGACCCCTTTTTAGGCCCTTAATTCCTAAACTGTTGGGACCATAACCCCCAAAATCAATTCCAACCTTCCTTTTGTGTTTTCAAACCTTGTGTTTAAATTTCATAGAGATCCATTCACTGAAACTAAAGTTATTGTCCGGAAACTAAGTGTCTTCGGACGACGCGGACAACAACGACGACGTGAAACCAATATAAGACTGCAAATTTTTTTTGCAGTCGTATAAAAAACAACATTAAGGCCTTAACTCTTGATGTTTAGTAAATCTTGATTTCCTGTTAAATAGGCAAAATTGTTTAAATACACCATTTATAGGCATGTTGTGGAATCTCAATAAATACTTATGATTGCAATGTTCGTTTAATCGTCGTTGTAGCTATGAAATCTATACAATAACGTCATTCACTACAACGTTACCATAGTTCAATGTTAGCACAATGTACTTCGCGTATACTATTTTCCGACAAGGAAATATTAACTCATGAACATAATATGTTGTCATTTGTGTTACCATCCATCATTTTTTGTCCATACTTCATGCATTTAATAAAAGAACAGCTTTTCAATGTACCTCGCCAATTGATGGATATACATGTATAAAATCTGCTATCAAAAAGCAAAAAATATGTATGTTCTTTTAACCTTTTTCATAAATTATAAATAATCTAAAAGAAATGAAGATGTGTGGGATTGCTTGCAATGCAATTTTTCTTACAATATCTATTTCCAAGAGGCATAACTCCTGTAAACATATTTGATCAGCACTTATTTTCTAACTCATAAAAGCCTATGCTGATATAGACCTACATGTATGGTATGAATTACAAAAATATCTGACAAAAAAATGTAACCATAACAGTGCTTTACTGGTTATCTTCCATAGAATTTACATTTCAAAGTGAAGTAATTCCTGTATAAATAATTTATCCAAGACATTACTGGTATATATAATAAACCTTTGGTATACATAAATATTACATGAATAAACAAAATATTTAAACAGTTATCCTTTTCATTACATACCTCTCATCACAAAATAATTATTGCCTGCTGCTCCTTATATGCACATAAATCAATATGACAATCTATGAATCCATTATATAATCTAGAAACCAATGCCTCAAATGAATTCTGTTCTGTTGCTTAGATTCTTCTACTTCTTGAAGTACAAAATGTACTTTCATTGAAAATGCTAAAAGAAATAATGTATGACATGTACAAATGTATAATAAAATGAAGTTACAATATTAATATATCTGCCAAATTTATTGCCTTAAATATTTTTATATGACAAAATTGGCTTATTTTGATCTTTTAAAACAAGAACAACAGATCTAGACTTGCCCTGAAAAAAAATTAACTATATAAAAAGTATTAAACTATTTGAATGTTCTAATCCATCTTATGTTAATTGTTTATTAAATCCATATGACCGTTGTATGAAGTGATGAATCAAAGTGGTTAAATCTGCTTTGTACGTATACAGATCTGATGTCAGATGAGTTAAGCCTTTTCACACTAGTACTCAGTAAAAGTAGTCTCAGACTCAGGATAATTAAGGCTTATTGTACTTGTCATATGTAAAGCCCTGTAATTTTCTTAGTTGCAAGTATTGATTTGCCTTAAGAGCTTTAATCAAATGTGATGATTTTCTCGGTAATGCTAGAATGTGATTCTTGTCCGCTCCAGCATGTCCTGGAATCACTCATAATTAAAATTTGGAAAAGGTTACATGTACATTCATTACCTACGCAATGTATGAAAAGGTATATACATTTTTTAAATCTAAGTTAAATGAAAAGGGGGGAGTAATACACCTTATCGCTATTTGTCCGCCATTACTGGACATCACACAAGTTCCCGTAAAATTTTGACGTCATAATAGAAAATGTCTGACGCCACAATGGAAAAGTGATTGTTGTATGACGTCAAAAGGTCGAGCGGGACAGATTCTCGGGTCAAGCGGGAATAGCGATAAGGTGTATTGATCCCCAGGGGCACCCTTATCTATTAATTGTAAAATAGCTACTAATTGCTAAAGAGATTATAAAGTCGTCTGCACAGTGTCATGCCCCATGTTTTTAAAACAACTGATAAACAAATACAAATATCAGGTTTACATATATCTAGTCAAATAGTTTTTCGTGAAAAATAAAGCACACACATCTTCCTGCTTTTATCCAATAATTAAACAAAATGTGCATAATAATATTTACCTTTCGTACTGCTTTTAGGGTACGTAAAACTATCCATCAAAACAAAATCACTTTCGCTGTTTCGTTGCGTTGACTTTCTATAAATTTTCTATGTTTCGTTCCCCGGTTTCTTCCAGTTAATCGACAAGTCACCCATTTCAATTTATCTGCTTATAATAAATTTTGATTCACCATTTTGAAAAACTAAAGTTCTTTGTATCATCTTATCTCTGTCCATTCAAACTTTTTAAATGACAACAGCGATCGCGTGAGCGTCCATGGATTTTGCGTCATAAAATAAAAAATGGTAACGGTGAAAAGATTTCCGGGTTTCCGTATTCGACGCACCATGCAAGCTTTCGTACATTTACGTATATATATATATATATATATGATGGTCTGGAATCAAGATTGGGGTTTAAGAATATAGAAAATAATGATAAAAAGTGCAAAATAAAGAAAAAAAAAATAAAGAACAGATACTAAAAAAAGCAGAAATATGGAATAAAGAATCATAGAGAATAATGGGATTATTGATAAAAAAAAAAGAATTGAGAATAAAGAACAAACTAAATAAAGAATATTTATTCATATTATTATTTAATATTTATAACTCATTCATTTATTTTACATTATGTTCCATTCAGAATTAGATAGCTCTGCTGTGGGGGTCACATAGCCTGAGGGCTGACATGCTTATATATATATATATCATCATGATGATGTGGGATTTAGTGGGAAGAGTAGAAAGTGCACTTTCCTGTTTGAGAAATACACTATATAGATAATGAATGAAAAAAATGTATGTGATAATTAAATGACAAATTTTGACATTTTCTCAAAACATTTTTTTTTAACTGTCCTTTAAAACATATGAAAACATATGAAAATCATATGTTTTTCATATGTTTACAAACATATGTAAACATATGTTTTAAAACATATGAAAACATATGTTTGCTTCCATATGTTTTCATATGTTTCAAAACATATGTAAACATATGTTTGTAAACATATGTTTTTCATATGTTTGGGACAAACATATGAAAAACATATGAAAATCATATGTTTTTCATATGTTTTGAAAACATATGAAAAACATATGTTGCAATTTTTCCTGTGTAGTATTATTGAAATATATATTGATATTTTTAAAAGATTTTTAGATATTAATGTGGTGAATACTTTTCTGTGAGCAACACAAAACTTTTCTGTGAGCAGAACAATACTTTTATGATATTTGTTAAGGTGTCTGATCATTCAAGGTATTCTTTTTATTGTCTAAAATAGGTGCTCTGTATTTTTTCACATTTTAAAAGTATGAGAAAATTAATCTATAATTTGTAGGAGACAGAAATTTGTACTAAAAAATCCTGATATTTCTCATACCTTGATATGTAATTGATATACAGTGTATTCATTATTATTCGTGGGATACCAATTTTCTTGGATTTCGTTGCAATAGTTAAACCACAAATTTAAAAATTCAATGAAGTTCATATTTTCTATAGATTTGTATACAGACTTTTGCAAAACCACAAAATAACATATCCACAAAAACACAAGTTTTCCTCAAATCCATATAAATTGGTATCCATGAAAATAAATGAATCCACAGTCATTTGTAATTTGGTTATTTGTGTTGTTGACTTGCCGTCTCATTGACCTATACCTCATATCTTCTTTTATTCATATCAAAGGTCACTTAAAAATACCTAAGATATCTTATCATCAGTGTATAATTTCTGAAATCAAAAATATACCTTCTGATTCAGTCCTAATAACACATAGTTTCTCAACACTTGTCCTATCATTAGCATAAGTTTTCAATGTTAAGGTATAATTCTTTCCTGGATCAAGATTTCCAATTTCAGCCATTTCTGATGTCACATTGAAAGAAGTCCCACTATCAAATTGAACAGTGTATCCTTCTACTCCTCCATCAGGCTTGATCCATGTTATGGTAATATGTGATGCATTGTAATCATTTCTGTATGAAGGACAATCAGGTGGGTTTGGTACTGAAATATACACCATAACAGTATTAAGATCTATTCAATTTTTCACTTTCCCCACACATGTAAATATGTTGTTACAAGCAAAACCAATAGATCAACAATGAATTTATACAGATGCATATCAGAAACTGATATGATTTCAGCATGCAAAGTAAATGACAGTAGGAAAATTTTTCATGTTATTCACAACTTTTTTTACACCCTGAGCTGTTTGGTATATTGTATAGACCTTTCTTTTGTTGAAGACAGTATGTAGATCAGTTTATGTCATTGGGCTTCTTTCTCATATTACCCACTTTTCTCCTTTAATTCATTTGTTTGACCTCTAGATCCCCCCCAACAAAAAACAAAAAAAACTTTGATTTTATTATGTCTTTCAGTTTCTATTGTTGTTAGGTTGGTGTCTCATTGATGTTTACCACACATTGTCTTACATTCATTTCTTTCCAATATATATTACACTGATTGAATGTACAAGATTGTAAATGATTTGATCTATTTAGTTTTTTAAAGTATTTTATTTTGTTAAAACATGCACTTGAAATCATGCTTCAAGGCTATAATAGTGAACTATGTTAATTTGGTTAAGTTGTTTTCAATTTGTTAGGTTTTTCCTAAATCTACGTTCTTTCATATAAAAAAAAAAACTTTTCAAACTCAAAGAGGACTTTTAATAATCATAATAATACGATCCCATTTATTGAATTTGTACATTTTTTTCATCTTTGTGTTTTTTTCAAGAACAACTCAGGAATATGATAATAAGTGTGTCTGTGCCCAAATTATACATGTATAGATCATATAATTTTACATAATATGAATTGAGTAAATAAATTTGTATACTCCATTTACGCAGAGAAAGTACAGTAATTTAATATTTCTCCTCAAAGTCAGATTTATGAAGGAGATTGAACCCACTAAGAACTAACATCAGTGAGAAAAAACTGATAAATAATTTTTGTTAAAGACATGCAAAATATGAAAATTTTATTAACCCTAAATACATGTATGCTGGGCACATAATTAAGGTGCTTTCACTTCTCCCACTCCTGGTTTTGACCAAATTTCATCATTTTCACATTAACATAATGAGGACTAATAAGACAATAATTCATTGTTAACGGGTCAATTAACTCTTTTCTGAATAGGTTAAAAGCTGGCACTGCCAACTGATACTCCACAAACTGCACATTTATTGAGAGATCTTTTTTATTTCAAATGTTCAAAATACCTGTATGCTTGGAGAGACAAATTATAATACCGGTATGTACTTCTTTTGGTAATTTTTCTGCCTGTATAAATGAATTACAATACATAGTGGGATATCATAAAGAAAACCAAATAAAAAATAAATAAATTTTAAGTAGCAATGACCTTGCTCTTTGATGGGTTGACCCCAATTAAATTAACTACTTCCTCTTCCCTTTATCTTCAATCAGAATAAATTTTATTCTAAGCAAGGGAAACTGAAGTTGTTATCTAGAAACCCTTTTTCCATATTTTTTCTATTTTAAGTAACATTGACCATAACCTTTGACCTATTAACCCCAAAATCTATAGGCTACTATTCCTACCTATGCATGTATCTTTCATCTGTATATATAAGATTCATTCCAATTAAGCAAGGGATACTTGAGTAATTATATGGAAACCATTTGTTTCGGACACACTGATGGACATGCAAAATGACGGACAAACAAACCTAAAGGGATTGTATAAACAGGGAAACCATTATTCCAAACATTTTCTATTTTGTAGCAAGTGACCTTGATCTTTGCTCTATTGCCCCTGAAATTAATAAACTTCTTCCCACTCCCTATATCTTCCATCTGTATAACTAAGCAAGGGATACTGGAGTTATTATATGGAAACCGTTTGTTTCGGACACACAGATGGACATGAAAAAGGATGGACAAACAAAGCTATTACATGTACTATATGCTACTGAACATTTTTTTGGAAGCATAAAAAGGGTCATCACTGATGAAAAAATTCGTTACAAGGTAAGAGGTTATTTTTACAGTTTACAGAGCATACATATAAAATTTGTGTTATACTCTTTTATTTATGCCATAAAAATCTGAAAAATGATATTTAACTTTTGTTTAAAAAACCAAGAATAAGAGAGGGAAAATGTGAAATAAGTATTTGGTACGTTATTTTCAAGCATTCCCAAGTTTTATAAGTAGTTTTCACCTTCTTTCCTCAAATAAATATTTACAACAAACATATGATACCTGATATAACTCATTCATTTATTTTGAAATCTATCGGTAAAATTCTGAATGAAAAAAAAACTGTGACATTATCTCTTAATAAATAAAAAAAACTTTCTGCCAAAGCTTCATAAAACCCTAAAAAGGTTTGACAAACTGTTATCGATGTCTAAAATACCTTACCCAAGACTTTATCTAAATGGTAACATTATTGCAAAAAAAATTCAGTCCATTTTTCAGTAAAATATGGCAAAACAAAATAGATTTCCAAAATTCTTCTTTGGATATTGTCTTTTGATCATAAAAATGCTTCTGTCCAAGTTTTTTTCCGATTCCATGAAGGTTTGACAAAGTTATTGATATTTAAGAAAAACCACAGACTGGACCTAAATGTTGATGCTGATGATGCCAAAGACGGAATATAGGATCGCTGTCTCACATCTGCGACAAAATGTTGGAGGGTTGACAATAATTTAGAAAATGTGTCCATAAGACACCATGCTCTGCTCACAGTATCACATTTTCATGTTCAGTAAATATCCTAATCCAAATAAAAACCCTACGATGGCATACATTTTCATGTATTTGGCTGTAACTTAATTGTAATCTACATCAAATTAACACTTTAATCTGACACATTTACATGTTCAGTGAACAGTGAAATCTAGGTCAAAGCCCTAATTTGGCATATATTTTTAAATTTCACATTATAATGAACATGTATACTCAGTTTTATGTTGATGTGACTCAACGTCATGGCAATCTAGTGAATATACCTTAAACAAAAACTTTAACCTAATATGGGACAGGCAGAATTACAGGCAGACCTATAGACTAGAAAATATAATGTCCCCTAATATCGTAAGCAGGGCATAAAAGTACACAAACTGTGGATAATTGAGAATAATTGTGCTTAAGTTTGGTTCAAATTAATGATTCATTATTTTCAGATATTTCTCTCTATGAAAAAGTACCTTAAAGTTGATGCCAAATTATGGCAATCAGTAACATTGACACTTTGCAATTGGGACGGGGAAGTTAAAACATGACGGAAAAAATTTATAAGTAAGCAAATAATAAAACAGTTTTTTTGGTGTTAGATAAATATCACCACACCTAGACAAATAATTACAAGTGCTTCTTAACTTGTTCAGTTGTTGATACTGTTATTCTAAATAAAAGCAAAGCTTGTGATTTCTTATACAATATAATAATTAATAAATCTGTTTTTGAGTGTGCACTTTATACTAAGGTCTATATATATTACTATTTTATCATGCATAAAATAAATGTAATAGACGTAAGATAATATAAAGTAAACAAGAAAAAGTCATAGTAAAGAAACTATGAATTTAGAACTTAATATACAGTTTGAAAATTAGTAATATTAAGACAGACACTTTGTTTACTGAGCATCCTATAAGCTATCTATATGGGCCACCATCATGGATTATCGGTAGTTATTTTTGGATAAGTCTGTACAATAGGCAAATCTTCAGACGAATCTGAAAATTTATAAGCATTTTCTTGGGAATTTTATTGATGCTTTCTTATATAATGACATCTGAGACATACACTACATCAATCAAATAATTTGTGATTTCAAATTAACAGGGTAGATAACTTTCACAGAAATATGCTCAATTCAAGGGGAGACAATTTAAATAAATATAAAGTTATTTTGAAAAATTTCGAGAAAAAGTTAACTTGTACCCCATTTTTCATATCTATCTTACTTAACAGATGCAAGATAATATGCATAAGTTTGGAGTAATTGCCCTGTAATATAGGATTCAAATTAACTGACCAAGAATTAAGCAAGACGCAACACAGCAGATTACCTGTCACTCATTTTCACCAAATTTTTCAGACCCAAATTGCCAGTGACGAAGCATACTTAAAATAAGGAATCATGTTTTACTTAACTGCATGTACATGGTTCAATCTATCTTCTGATTTAAAATATAATTTCTTACTTGTTACAATACTTCCATTTACTCTTTCTGATGATATACTATCATTTAAAACTGTGAAAATGTATACAATATAAATCTGTCCAGCTGTGAGTCCACTGACTGTAATTATCTCATCTGTTGTCGTTTTGGTTTGATCAGAGTTGTTTCCCTTTACCGTAACATTATACGCTACTTTATACTCAGAAGAAAGACCAGTTGGCCCAACCCATGCAACAGTAATAGTTGTTTCAGTAGAATTTAGACTAAGTGAAGTTGGTATTAAAGAGTTAACTGTAGAAATAGATAAATATATAAATGTACAATGTATTATAGATATATATGTATGAAAATGTGTTTTAGCTGCAATGTAATAGATAAAAAAACTGAAGTGCAAATCTAATATTGTATAGTAAGCACATCTTTGTGGAATTCATATTTAATGTTGGTTTTTTTTGGTGGGGGTTGAACGAGTTATCAACCAAGTTCGAATGTAACTGATTAATTTAATTTTAAAAATGATGAATTCAGTGGGCATTAAAAAAAATGATCAAGGTCAGCTCTATTTTGATTTTATCAGAAGCTGTGTAAAAAATGTGATTTAGTGAAACAAAAAAGTGCAAAGTTAGATTAGTAGGATTAGACTAAAGTAAAGTCACCTGATGTTAATTGTTTCACATGACAGTTCAGAATTTAAACCATGAAAGGAAAAGGTACATTTTGGGGCCTACCTGTAAATTCACAAACAAAAAATATGTCTGATGTCATTACTTTAAATATCTTTAAGCATCAGAAGAAAGGCTTTTAAAAAATGTGAATATTAGGAAAGCCTTGCTGACAAATTTTGACTGTGCAGTCTTTAAACTGAGGTCATTAGCAAAGATTTGTCAGATTTTTAGAAAAAATTTGAGGCTAAATGTAAGAACATTTTATGACCAAATAGTTCAGTTTTTGCAAAATTTAGCTACTTTACTATATTTACTGTCATTTCATGACTGTAAAACTCATGAAAGAGAGTCGAGGGATACCAAAGGGAAATTCAAACTCACAAGTCGAAAAACAAACCGACAACACCATGGCTAAAAAAGAAAAAGACAAACAGACAAACAACAGTACACAATACAACACAGAAAACCAAAGACTGAGCAACACAAACCCCACCAAAAACTGGGGGTGATCTCAGGTGCTAAGGAAGGGTAAGCAGATCCTGCTCCACATGTGACACCAGTCGTGTTGTTTATGTAAGTACAAACTCGGTGATATGTCTATAATCAGTAGCTCTCATTCAGGGGAAGGGGACGAGATTGTAGTTACGACAATTAGAACATATCTGTCGTCATCTGTGAAAAAGATATTCCATAACGGTCAACCAACTCTTAATGGGGGCCGTTAAATTTAAGAAGGGATGATTTCAACTTCACTACTTGGAACACTTGCTTTCATAGCTTCCTTGTGAGCAGCAACCCTCTATCAAGGAAATCATGATAGGAAACACAAGCCCTGGAATGTCATATCAACTGGGAGATATATACTCTGTATGCAGGCGCTGCTGGAATGTTGCTACATAGAAATGCAAAGTTCACAATTGGGAAGCTGAAATCATCTCTTTTGTCGTAAAGTTTTGTTTTCAACCGACCCTCATTGTCAATTTCTAGATGTAAGTCAAGATATGAGAAAGACTAAACTGTATCTGTTGTATCCTTTATCTCAAGTTCGATGGGAAAGATGTGTTCAACATAGTCACCAAATTTTGAATTATTTAGTGAGAGAACGTCATCTTTATAGGGGAAAGTAAAATTAAAGGATACTGCTAACTTCTTTTCCTTCTTCCTAAGAATTTCCTGTATGAAGTCAGCCTCATATGAATAAAAGAACAAGTTGACAAGAAGAGGAGTACAGTTGGTTCCCATGGGAATGGTATAATCAAAACAACATTGTTTATTTAGGGTTACATACATTTAACATTTACATCTAAAGATCCAAATTAGTTTGGAATATATTTGATTTTAGGGCTTATTTGGCCCCAAATTGTACCTTCTCCTTTGTGCAATAGCTCTAAATAAAATTCAAACAAAACTGACCAGTTGCAAGAAGAATAACTTAACACATGTATAGTTTTGGTTGTAATATAGCTGAGCTTGAAGTCTTGTGTACAAAAATTTAAATACTTACTATACAGTATAATATGTACAAATTACAAAGTGGTATTGGAGTTTTATAAAGTTTAAAACTATATTAAAGTAAATGTTTAATATTTTTGTTTTTTGTGTTAATTAAACTTGAACTGCATTCTCTCTGTTTCTAGTTAAAACTTCCCTTGTATCCTGTAAATCATGTAACTTACTCCTACTTTGTGGAAGTGACTCAGGATGGCTAAACATAGTTAAAACAGTTCTTTATCTTTTTTTAGTGAATAATTCAATTACTACATGTAAATATATACATACAAACTAAATGTACCGGTATACCTACATTGGTGTATGAAAGCATAATGATGATGTACTATTTATACATGTGCATAGCTGTAATTGCAAATACATGTGAGTGTGTGTGCATGTGTGGATAACAGCTCTGCAGAGTATAAAATATAATTGACTTGTAATATGTAATTATAATATAATTGTGTGCAGTTTTTTTTATCATTTCAGCAGTTTCTACAACCTTACTGGACAGATTTAATACCAAATCAATGGGACTTGATTCAAGATTCAAGATTCAAAGTTTAATTTAGAGTCGATATTCCATAAACTACATAAACACAAGCTCTAGTGAGCTTTTCAAATCGACTTAATAACAAAATACAATACACACATACAAAAGTCATGAAAACAATACAATTTTAAACATATAATGCATAGTAAGATACCATAAATGACATATATAAGTTAAAAGCATAGTATACTTAAAACATAGCACAAGTTAATAATAAGATTGCACAAATCAAATAGTCAAACTAAAATAAACACAGGTATAATTAACACTATATGCATGCACTGCACTGGCATGAGCTGTTACTTGGATCCCATGTTTGTACCAATTTTTTGAATTGGTCAAAAAATGTTTCCATTCGACAATGGTTCGGCAGCTCATTCCAGATTTGTGCAGCATTATAGCGAAATGATTTTAAGCCATACTTAGTAGTTCGGACTCTTGGGAGTACTGCTGTTTCCTGTGATCTTAAATCATACTTGTTAATTTTTATATCAATCAAATCATGAAGGTAGCTCGGACTTTTTTTGTGAATTATTTTAAATGTTTCTATTGCAATACTTTTTATTCTTCTTATTTTTAAAGATGGTAATTTAGATTTTTCTAGCAGTTTTTCGTATGGACTATCATAATCTTCATAAATGAATCTTAGAGCTCTTCCTTGAATTTTTTCCATTTTAAAAAATTTTTTTTCGCTCTACAGTAGTGCCAAATTACTGGACAATAGTTAAAATTTGAAAGAATGAATGAGTAGTATGCTGTTAACCTACCTAGCCCGTTTAAATATTTACCTATACGTTTTAGAATATTTAATTGTCTTGATGCCTTTTTACATATTTCAGATATATGATTGTTAAAGTTAACTAAAGTAAGAAAACTTTCAAGTTTCAACACCAATGTTTGTTTTTACAAAATGCTTTTATGGAACAAATAGTATTTTGCATTTAGAGGTGAACCCTATATATTGTAAATGATTTTTTTATCACAATACAAATTTAAAAAATCAATATTCACAAACATCCTGGTCATTGTAAAATGCAGTAATATATCATAGCTTCATAAATTTAAAATGTAAAAGAAGGAAATTTTAGTTACTCAATGTAATTTATAATATGATTGCTTCCCTGTACATCTTTAATACAATGGTACTTTTGTTTAATCCTTAAAGCTTATAAATAAATTAACCAACTGTAAACTAGGTGGGATTAAATTTGTCCAAATAGCTATCTTTAAAACAGACATTTGCTAATACACAAAAGTACAGAAATATGGAGATGTTGTATGATTTTATTCATTATGTCTGACATTTAAAATGCCCATTTTTTTCCATTAAAACCTCAATTTACTTTCAAAATTAAGACTGTAAAGGAAAATATTTTTATTTTGAAAAACACTGGTACCTTTGAGCTAATAAAAAAATGCCAAATATATCCACTTCATTACAACTCTGGTGCATAGATGTTCACTGGAAATCATACAACATCACATTATTTTTATACATAAGAAACTAGTCAAAATACAAATAAACTGTTATCACAGAGATATGTCTTGCCTTTTTGTAATTTTGATAATGCAAATGTTGAAATTAAAATAGCAATACTTTAACATGTAAGTATGCAAATATTCAAAGTCAATGAACCATGACTGAAGGTACATGGCTAAACAATCTCCATGGAATGAGATGTGCTAATGCTAATACAACTGCATACCAAATACCATTGACTTATTATAAGTCGTTCCCTTTAAACAAACCTAAACACAAACATTAACTTGTAAACTATGTAAAAGTTTCAAAGTCAATGAACCATGATCAGGGGTGGGGCTATATAATCTCCATGGAAACAATACTTGCAAATGCCAATAAATTTGCATACAAAATATCATTGACTTAACATTAACAGTTCATCTCAAACTGATCTAATCACAAACTAATACATGTAAACTAAGGAAAAGTTTCAAAGTAAATAGACCATGACTGAGGGGGCGGGACCAAATATTCTCCATGGAAATGAGATGTGCTAATGCTTATACAACTGAAAACCAATTAACATTGGCCTACCACTAATGGTTCCCCTTGAACTGACCTAAACACAAACTAATACATGTTAACTTAACAACATTTTTAAAGTCTATAGACCTTGACTGAGGGGGCGGGGCCAAAAAATCTCCATGGTAATGAGATGTGCCAATGCTAATACAACTGCATACCAAATATCATTGACCTACCACTAGTGGTTCACCAGACCTAATCACAAACTAATACATTGTTGACGCCGCCACCGCCGCCGCCCCCAACGCCAGAAACAGCATACATATGTCTCGCTGTTGTAATTTCTCTTGATCTTTTATAGTTTTCAAAATAAAAACTAAAAAGTGTAAACAAATTGTAAAAATTGTCATTTCAGAGCAATAACTCCTGTGAAAACAGGAATTGTGTGGGTAAATATCACACAGGACATTGTAGTTCAGATCTAGTATTATATATGTCTCTGCAGAGTCACTTTGCATTTGTGTTTTTCTTTATCGTTTTGCCACCAAATGGATATATATTTTGAAATCATTAAAAATAACAAATAATAAATGGCCTATGGCTATGATGAAATACTGTGGTAATAATTATAACTTTTCACAGCTAAAAAGACATGCATTTAAAATACAGTTGAAAATACCATGAAATGTGAAATGTAGGTCATTGTTACCCAAGTATTCATGAGAATTATATAAGTTCAGTAGTGGGGAAAAACCATTGATATATTACCATATTTTTCAAAAAATGGATTAAAATATTAATAAAATGATATGAATTTCTTGGATTTTGCTACTTACGTGGTTCACATGTACCATTCGATTGGAAATATTTATCTGCTTTACACTGACAATAACCATTTGTATTACACTCCGTATTGGGATTATAGGCTTCGCAAGATTCTGAAATACTACAATTTCCACCGATTTCAATAGGAACAGCAGTTGTCATTAGTTCTGTTGTTGTGATGGTGGTTGGTTGTGGTGTTGTTGTTGTGATGGTGGTTGGTTGTGGTGTTGTTGTGTTTGTTGTCATTGTTGATGGGGTGGTGCCTATTGTTGTTGTTGCCATGGTAGTTGTTGTAGTTGGTTCTGTTGATGGAGAAACTTGACTGCTAGTGCTTTGTGAGGTAGTCATTGTTGTGGTGCTATTGTTAAGTAATACCTACAATTCATAAAAAAAATGCATAATTAAATCAATAGTCACAAGGTGATTGACATCAAAAGGATTGATTGATTGATTGATTGATTGGTGTTTAACGCCACTTTCAGCACTGTTGTGCTATTTCCAGGTGGTCAGTTTTTATTGGTAGAGGAAGTCGGAGTCCCTGGAGAAAACCACCGTCCTTTCGGTAGGAAAACTGACAATCATAGTCAATTAAGATTGGAGTCGAGTGCACCCACACGAGCAGGGTTTGAACTCACAACCTCAGTGTGACATCAAAAGGAAGTCATTATGATGATGATGGATTGGTGTTCAACATCCAGTTGCAAATAGTACAGAACAAAACATGTCAATGTGATATGAATATGAACCCAGGCTGCTATGTACTAGACCTACATGCAAAGCCAGACTTTCAATGTGCTAGTTCATAAGGTAACAGCTTACAGGTAGACATTTCACCTCACCTGGACAAATTATACTGTCTCAAAGCCAACTAGTAATTGCTCTTACTCCTAAATGCCACATGCTAAGCAGAAAATCAGCAAATACCAATTTTCAAGTCTTTGGTTTGACCTGGAAGGGTGCTCGCTACCTTGAGACCACCAGTTATACTATCATCATTCAAATGCTTGGAATAGTTTTTGCATGATTATTATCAATGATTTTTACAATATTTGTCAAAGATTATGCTATTTGTTTTTGCATATGATCAGCAAGGTCATACTGGTTCACTTGGTTTACTACATCACTGCTGCTAACCCAATCCCCCCCCAAACTACCACAACTACCATGAAAAACACTCATTGTTATCAAAGCCATAGAAAACATAAGTTAAACATTTAGTTGTATTTTATATTAGCTGTTTGTTTTCCTGCAACAAACATTTTTTTTTATTTTTTTTCATTACATCCTTTTCTTAAATAGTTGTCATTGATTGCTTGTGATATATATTCCAAATGAACATTATTTTTACAGATTTCTTATTGAGTTGTTTAGCCTGCTGATGTCTATATTCACCCTTCATTACTATATAAACATATATATAGCCTAAACTGCTTTATTACTATCATGTTATCTTGTTTTAAAATGCTAATATTCTATATCACCTTATACATGTACACATAATATATATATATGCAAATTTAATGTGTCTCAATTCAGAGTCACAAACCTTTCTTTGTTCAGATGTTTTTGTATGTTAGTGAACAAGCTATTAGTGGCAGATCTTCTGTGGTCTACAGAAACCTTTCTTTGTTCAGGTGTTTTTGTATGTTAGTCAACAAGTTATTAGTGGCAGATCTTCTGTGGTCTACAGAAACCTTTCTTTGTTCAGGTGTTTTGGTATGTAACAGAACAAGCTGTTGATAACAGATCTTCTGTGGTCTACAGAAACCTTTCTTTGTTCAGGTGTTTTGTAATATTACAGAACAAGCTGTTGATAACAGATCTTCTGTGATCTACAGAAACCTTTCTTTGTTCAGGTGTTTTGGTATGTAACAGAACAAGCTGTTAATGGCAGATCTTCTGTGAGCTACAGAAACCTTTCTTTGTTCAGGTGTTTTGGTATGTAACAGAACAAGTTGTTGATGGCAGTTCTTCTGTGCTCTACAGAAACCTTTCTTTGTTCAGGTGTTTTTGTATGTTACAGAACAAGCTGTTGATGGCAGATCTTCTGTGGTCTACAGAAACCTTTCTTTGTTCAGGTGTTTTGTAATGTTACAGAACAAGCTGTTGATGGCAGATCTTCTGTGGTCTACAGAAACCTTTCGTTGTTCAGGTGTTTTGGTATGTAACAGAACAAGCTGTTGATGGCAGATCTTCTATGGTCTACAGAAACCTTTCTTTGTTCAGGTGTTTTGGTATGTAACAGAACAAGCTGTTGATGGCAGATCTTCTGTGGTCTACAGAAACCTTTCTTTGTTCAGGTGTTTTAGTATGTAACAGAACAAGCTGTTAATGGCAGATCTTCTGTGATCCACAGAAACCTTTCTTTGTTCAGGTGTTTTGGTATGTAACAGAACAAGCTGTTGATAACAGATCTTCTGTGATCTACAGAAACCTTTCTTTGTTCAGGTGTTTTGGTATGTAACAGAACAAGCTGTTAATAGCAGATCTTCTGTGATCTACAGAAACCTTTCTATGTTCAGGCATTTTGGTATGTAACAGAACAAGCTGTTGATGGCAGATCTTCTGTGATGTACAGAAACCTTTGATTGTTCAGGTGTTTTTGTATGTAACAAAACAAGCTGTTGATGTCAGATCTTCTGTGGTCTACAGAAACCTTTCTTTGTTCAGGTGTTTTTGTATGTTACAGAACAAGCTGTTGATGGCAGATATTCTGTGGTCTACAGAAACCTTTCTTTGTTCAGGTGTTTTGGTATGTAACAGAACAAGCTGTTGATGGCAGATCTTCTGTGGTCTATAGAAACCTTTCTTTGTTCAGGTGTTTTGGTATATTACAGAACAAGCTGTTGATGGCAGATCTTCTGTGGTCTACAGAAACCTTTCTTTGTTCAGGTGTTTTTGTATGTTACAGAACAAGCTGTTGATGGCAGATCTTTTATGGTCTACAGAAACCTTTCTTTGTTCAGGTGTTTTGGTATGTACCAGAACAAGCTGTTGATGGAAGATCTTCTGTGGTCTACAGAAACCTTTCTATGTTCAGGTGTTTTTGTAAGTTACAGAACAAGCTGTTGATAGAAGATCTTCTGTGGTCTACAGAAACCTTTCTTTGTTCAGGTGTTTTTGTAAGTTACAGAACAAGCTGTTGATGGCAGATCTTCTGTGGTCTACAAAAACCTTTCTTTGTTCAGGTGTTTTTGTATGTTAGTGAACAAGCTGTTTATGGCAGATCTTCTGTGATCTACAGAAACCTTTCTTTGTTCAGGTGTTTTTGTATGATAGTCAACTAGCTGTTGATGGCAGATCTTCTGTGATATACAGAAACCTTTCTATGTTCAGGTGTTTTTGTATGTAACAGAACAAGCCGTTGATGGCAGATCTTCTGTGGTCTACAGAAACCTTTCTTTGTTCTGGTGTTTTGGTATGTACCAGAACAAGCTGTTGATGGCAGATCTTCTGTGATCTACAGAAACCTTTCTTTGTTCAGATGTTTTGGTATCTAACAGAACAAGCTGTTGATGTCAGATCTTCTGTGGTCTACAGAAACCTTTCTTTGTTCAGGTGTTTTGTAATGTTACAGAACAAGCTGTTGATGGCAGATCTTCTGTGGTCTACAGAAACCTTTCTTTGTTTAGGTGTTTTTGTATGTTACAGAACAAGCTGTTGATGGCAGATCTTCTATGGTCTACAGAAACCTTTCTTTGTTCAGGTGTTTTGGTATGTAACAGAACAAGCTGTTGATGGCAGATCTTCTGTGGTCTACAGAAACCTTTCTTTGTTCAGGTGGTTTTGTATTGTTACAGAACAAGCTGTTGATTGCAGACCTTCTTTGGTCTACAGAAACCTTTGTTTGTTCAGGTGTTTTTGTATGTTACAGAACCAGCTGTTGACGGCAGATCTTCTGTGGTCTACAGAAACCTTTCTTTGTTCAGGTGTTTTGGTATGTAACAGAACAAGCTGTTGATGGCAGATCTTCTGTGGTCTACAGAAACCTTTCTTTGTTCAGGTGTTTTTGTATGTTACAGAACAAGCTGTTGATGGCAGATCTTCAGTGATCTACAGAAACCTTTCTTTGTTCAGGTGTTTTGGTATGTAACAGAACAAGCTGTTGATGGCAGATCTTCTGTGGTCTACAGAAACCTTTCTTTGTTCAGGTGTTTTGGTATGTAACAGAACAAGCTGTTGATGGCAGATCTTCTGTGGTCTATAGAAACCGTTCTTTGTTCAGGTGTTTTGGTATATTACAGAACAAGCTGTTGATGGCAGATCTTCTGTGGTCTACAGAAACCTTTCTTTGTTCAGGTGTTTTTGTATGTTACAGAACAAGCTGTTGATGGCAGATCTTTTATGGTCTACAGAAACCTTTCTTTGTTCAGGTGTTTTTGTAAGTTTCAGAACAAGCTGTTGATGGAAGATCTTCTGTGGTCTACAGAAACCTTTCTTTGTTCATGTGTTTTTGTAAGTTACAGAACAAGCTGTTGATGGCAGATCTTCTGTGGTCTACAAAAACCTTTCTTTGTTCAGGTGTTTTTGTATGTTAGTGAACAAGCTGTTTATGGCAGATCTTCTGTGGTCTACAAAAACCTTTCTTTGTTCAGGTGTTTTTGTATGATAGTCAACTAGCTGTTGATGGCAGATCTTCTGTGATCTACAGAAACCTTTCTATGTTCAGGTGTTTTGGTATGTAACTGAACAAGCCGTTGATGGCAGATCTTCTGTGGTCTACAGAAACCTTTCTATGTTCAGGTGTTTTGGTATGTACCAGAACAAGCTGTTGATGGCAGATCTTCTGTGATCTACAGAAACCTTTCTTTGTTCAGATGTTTTGGTATGTAACAGAACAAGCTGTTGATGTCAGATCTTCTGTGGTCTATAGAAACCGTTCTTTGTTCAGGTGTTTTGTAATGTTACAGAACAAGCTGTTGATGGCAGATCTTCTGTGGTCTACAGAAACCTTTCTTTGTTCAGGTGTTTTTGTATGTTACAGAACAAGCTGTTGATGGCAGATCTTCTATGGTCTACAGAAACCTTTCTTTGTTCAGGTGTTTTGGTATGTAACAGAACAAGCTGTTGATGGCAGATCTTCTGTGGTCTACAGAACCCTTTCTTTGTTCAGGTGGTTTTGTATTGTTACAGAACAAGCTGCTGATTGCAGATCTTCTTTGGTCTACAGAAACCTTTGTTTGTTCAGGTATTTTTGTATGTTACAGAACAAGCTGTTGACGGCAGATCTTCTGTGGTCTACAGAAACCTTTCTTTGTTCAGGTGTTTTGGTATGTAACAGAACAAGCTGTTGATGGCAGATCTTCTGTGGTCTACAGAAACCTTTCTTTGTTCAGGTGTTTTTGTATGTTACAGAACAAGCTGTTGATGGCAGA